AAGTTCAAGTTCATCATTGTCCTCATCACTTGAGTCATCGCTCAAGTGGTATTCATTTGTCCGGAGTTCCAAATCCTTCCTATTCTTTGGAAGGTGGTTCAAGTGTTCATTGTGTTCATCATGTGCATTACGCACCATTTCATAGGTCATCAATAAGCCGATAAGTTCTTCAAGTGGAAAAATATTTAAATCTTTTGTTTCTTGTATTGCCGTTACTTTTGATTCCCAAGCTTTAGAAAGTGATCGTAAAACTTTACTAACAAGTTCAAAATTCGAGAAACATTTGCCAAGAGCTTATAAACCATTGACGACATCCGTAAAACGGGTGTACATGTCAACAATGGTTTCGCTCGGCTTCATTTGAAAAAGCTCGAAATCATGCATTAAAATGTTCACTTTCGAGTCTTTGACTCTACTAGTTCCCTCGTGCGTGATTTCAAGTGTTCGCCAAATATCAAAAGTCGTTTCGCATGTAGAAATCCGATTGAACTCATTTTTGTCCAAAGCGCAAAATAAGGCATTCATAGCCTTTGCGTTTAAAGAAAAATACATCTTCTCCAAATCCAACCATTCATTCATCGGTTTAGAGGGAAGTTGAAAGCCGTTTTCAACGATATTCCATAAATCTAAATTCATAGAAATCAAGAAAACTCTCATTCGAGTTTTCCAATAAGTGTAGTCCAATCCGTTAAACAACGGTGGATGAACAACCGAAAAGCCCTCTTGAAAGCCATGAAGAGCCATTTCTCTCGGGTGTAAATCCGAAATGAGAAATACCGAGCTCTGATACCAATTGTTAGGATCGGAGCGGCACTAAGGAGGGGGGGGGGGTGAATTAGTGCAGCGGTAAAGTGTGATAAACTTTTGACGATTTAAACACTTTCGGAAACTTCGTACGATAAAAGTAACGTTTTCGTTTGAAACCGTTTCGATTACATTTTAACTTGAAGAGATAAGTAAGACGGAGACAAAGAAGTAGAGCATTAAAGTGCAAATGGTTTGCAGTAATGTAAATGACAATAAGTAAAAGCAAACCAGAGATCACGTCGATTTTACAGTGGTTCGGTCAAATGACCTACATCCACTTGCGAGGCCCCTTTTCGATGAGGCTCCCACCTTCCACTAGCAAATCTCTTGAAATGGAAGGGCAAATACCCCTCTTACAACTTTTTACAAGCGGTTCACTCTCTTACAGATTTTCAGCAAGAAAGAAGGAGGTGAACACTAGCAAATTGAAAACAAGACTAGCAAAGACTTTTCTAAGACCTTTCTCTCAAACAATTGCTGCTCAAAAAGTTGTTTTCTCAGCTAAGATTTGAGGGGTATTTATATGCCTCAAGAGGATTCAAATTTGGGCTCCAAAAATTTGAATTCTCTTATGTTCCCGATGCTGGCGGTGCCACCGCCCAGCCCAGGAGGTGTCGCCGCCCAGCTCTCGGGTGCTGGGCGGTGCCACCGCCTAGGCCAATTCAGCTCACTGGTTAGGCTCCAAACTTGGCCCAAACCAGTCCGAACTCAGGCCCAATTGGCCCCTACTTGGGTTATAGGATTAACACCTAATCCTAACCCTAATTAACGTGCTAACTATGAATTTAAAGACATTTTCTAAGCTATTATAAAGTTCGTAAGTCAAGACTTCTTCCGGCGAGCTTCCGACGAACTTCCGACGGTCTTCCGATAAACTCTCGGAAACCATTCTGCGGACTCCCGGCAAGCTCCTAGACTTCACGATTTGATCTTGGCGAGTTCCAATGAGCTTCTTCGGTAAGCTCCGATCTTTCTCGGTGAGCTCCGCGAACTTCCAACGAACCTTCCGGCAAGCTTCCGAAAAACCCTTCGGTAAGCTCCCTACTCATTCTCGGCTAGTCCCGACAGCATTCCCGACGAACCTTCGGACTTCCGTCGAACTCTCAAACTCCCAACGAATCCTTCGCGCTTGACTCCAGCACTTTGTTTCGCTTTATGTCTTCATCGTTATCGTAGTTAATCCTGTACACATAAACCAAAACTCAACTTCGATCTAGACAATTATTACAACGCGAATTGACATTCTGTTGCCCGACACGTCATTGGTTGGCGCTTCGTCCGATTCTTCGGTGCATCGTCCTCTCTTACGGCTTGTTGCCCAATCGGCGGTTGACCTCCGCAACCCCGATATCCTTGGCGCAATTTCGCTCTCCTTGGCCCGATGCCTGACGTCCGAAGCATTCAGCCATCCAATATCCTGACGTGATCTCTTCCGGCGCAATGTCAATTCCTCCTGCGTCAACTATCTAAACCTGATCGAGTAGACCTGCATCGCTCAAAATGCAGTTTAAATCATAAACACATATCAAGTGGTTTCATTATCAAAATACGAGATTCAACACAATTGAGGCATATTGTATGAGATATTTAGATAATAAATTATACTCTAATTTACTAAAACAAGATAGTATTTGAACAGCTTATTTTCAAATAAAGTATGTTTTTTACAAATTGAAACTCACTATAGAGATTACAAATAATTTTATGTAAAAATATTAGAAAAATATTTTCTTTATTTTACAGAATCCAAATGATTAAAAGAAATAAATATTTGAGTAGGCAATTGTATTTTAAATCATTCAAGTAAGATATTAAAAAAATATATAAGAGTCTTACTTTCTAAAAAAATAAGTTTTTCCTAAATCAAAATTTTATAATTAAAATATTATACTTAAAACAAGATAGATAGGGTAGAATTTTTAAAAATCTAGATTAGCAAATTTATAACTCAAATAGGGTTCATGCCATTAGAAAAAAGAAAACCCTACAAATTGCTCATAAATAAAAGGAAATCAAGAATAAAAATCTCTATATAATGGGTTAGAACACTTATCTCAGAAAATTTTAATCCCAAAGGTGATTAATTGGTCCAAAACCTTAAACCAAAACAACAATCTCCTTCCTCTCCTTCAATTCCTCTTTCCTTCTCATCTCTAGTCCAAGATGAGTTACAATAAAGTTCTCATTTGATAAGTTTTCTTTACGTTTTCTCTAATTAATTAGGTTTAATTAATACAAAGATGACAAACTGACAAACATGCCTAAGGAATCACATGTCATTAATAGAGCAAATAAAAGTAGCATAATATTTAGGTTATCTAATGACATATGTCCCTCACCTTGTCTTTTTTCCATATTTGGTTTTCTTGAGGAATAAAGTAGAAATGAAATAGAAACATGATTTTTAGATTTTAAAGGATGAGTTTTAGTACTCATAGATTTGTGAAAAGGATTTATATTAAATTAGAAAAAAAGGAGAAAAGATGGAGGACATGTATCACTAACTAGTTTAAGGATTGTACCACTTGTTCTATTCATGACATATATGTTTTCTTGATATATGCTTATCGTTTTATCATCTTTGTGTTAGCTAAATCAAAACAATTAGAAGAGAAAACTGGAGAAAACTAATCAAATAAGAACCTTGCTACAACTCAACTTGAACTAGAACAGAGAAGGAAGAGGTATTGTTTTGACTTAAGGTTCTGGATCAATTCATTATTCTTGAGATTAGAATTTTTAAAAACATGTGATAAATGATTGATTTTATGATTCTATAAATTTTTAGGTGATGATTAATGATTTTTGAGTTGAGCTTGGATTTTATAAAGTTATAGAGTGATATTTTGAATGATTAAAAACGGTAAAGATTTTATAGATATGTATGAGAATTGAATGTTCTTAGGATAAACCTAAGTGAACTCCCATATGATTTGATGTCTCTTCACATATTGGACTATTCAAAACTGACGTAATCAATAGCATGACTTAAAATATTGATGATGTCATCGGCCGCCACAATATTTCCAACTCATGTCTTATTTTTCACATGCCAATAATATAATGATCTCATCAACATTTTCATACCATACCATCCAAGTTGAAAAATGGATTAACGGAGATAAATAAAAGGTAGACATACGTAAATAAAGAAAAAAAAATTATCAACCCTCTACTATCCTTTTACTCGTGAAAGAAAGAAGAACTCACAAAAAAATTTGATGTGTTGTGCCCTTCGTATAAATTGGACGATGCAACACAAGCGTTTAATGGATCCTAATATGGGGCAAAATTTGAGGATAATCTAATCTATCATTCCTGCTCTTTGACGATTCTCCATCACTTTCACATGCATGTTTCAAGAAGCCAAATATTATACGATAGAATCATTAATATTTAAAACCTTAAAGAACGTCTCTTGATCGTATCAACTAAGACTAGCCTCAATGATCAATAATTGTACTGTTGGGAGGAGGATTCTTCTGTACTTGTCCTTGTCATCGGATGCGTGGGCGGCTGACACCCGCAGGGCCAAGGGGATGGGCATTAGGGCATCACGGGAAGCTTATACGAGAGCCATACGATGAGCAACTGACGGCTAAGATGGAGGCATTGGCCCGGACACCGATATATCAGATAAAAACACCCAGAAAAGGAAGAATCTCGTGGCTGATACTCTGTCGGCTGGAGAATCTAGACTTGCCTGCACACAAGATTTTACCTTAGGTAAGTAAGAACGGGAAGGACTGGATTCCCCCACTCCCGATCCGTGGAAGGCGCACTCTCTCTCTCTCTCTCTTTCCCCCCACAACTTGGGGAGCTTCTTCCCACCTCTCTAAACTCCAGCTATGGAAGCCCTTCACGTCCGCCCCGCCCTCTATAAATAGCCCGCCCTTGTAGCCTCGATGGCACCATCGTAGAAGAACCAGGAGAGGTAGAGGAGATGGGGAGCTGGGCGATCGCCGTCCATGGAGGTGCTGGCGTCGACCCCTGCCTGCCCGCGGTACGGCAGGAGGAGGCTCGAAGGGTGCTGTCGCGGTGCCTCAAGTTGGGCGCCGGCGCCCTGCAGGCCGGCCTTACCGCCGTGGACGTGGTGGAGATGGTGGTCCGGGAGCTGGAGACCGACCCAGTGTTCAACTCCGGCCGTGGGTCCGCGCTGACCCGGCGGGGCACGGTGGAGATGGAGGCCAGCATCATGGACGGCCGCGGCCGCCGCTGCGGCGCCGTCTCCGGCCTCTCCACCGTCAAGAACCCCGTCTCCCTCGCCCGCCTCGTCATGGACCGCTCCCCCCACTCCTACCTCGCCTTCGACGGCGCCGAGGACTTCGCCCGCGAACAGGTCCTCCATCTCTCTACCACCCTTTTTCATGCTGACAACACGATCTCGACTGTTGGATTCCAATCAAACGGCCGACATCAATCTCTCTGTGTAGCGTAACTCGATCTTGACCGTCCGATTTCAATCACAAACATGACCACATCGGTACAGAATCATTCAGCGTATATTGCTGAGATGGAATCTGCACGATGAGCGGTGTCGCTCAACCGTGACAGATACGGAGGCGCACGAGTCCAAATCACGAGGACGGGGCATGCAAACCTGCACCACTCGATGCCTGTGCGACCCAACCGAACGCCTTTGTCCGCGTTCGGCACACCCCGAAATGGACCCGGGATTCCATGCGCCTTTTGGCACGCGCCAGAGATTCCATTGGAATCTTGACGTGGTGAAGAAAACACTGGCCTGAAACACGTGGTTGTCGGCTTGTTGAATCTGATCTGCTACTGTTGCAGGGTGTTGAAATGGTGGATAACAGCTACTTTATCACCGAGGAGAATGTGAGCATGTTGAAGCTGGCGAAGGAGGCCAACAGTATCATGGTATTTGTTACATGCGCATGATCACATCTCAGAAGCGAACACCGTGCTAATTGATGTGCTCTACGTGGAACAGTTCGATTACAGAGTGCCGATCCCCGGCGTGGATAGTTGCAGCGCCATCGCGGGACTGATGGGGGCGAAGGCGGAGGGTGGTCTGCAGATGAACGGCCTGCCGATCAACGTGTACGCGCCGGAGACGGTGGGCTGCGTGGTGGTGGACAACAACGGGTGGTGCGCCGCCGCGACGTCCACCGGCGGGCTGATGAACAAGATGAGCGGCCGCATCGGGGACTCGCCCCTGATCGGCTCCGGCACCTACGCCTGCGACGTCTGCGCCGTGTCGTGCACCGGCGAGGGCGAGGCCATCATCCGCAGCACTCTGGCGAGGGACGTGGCGGCGCTGATGGAGTACAAGGGGCTGAGCCTACAGGAGGCGGTGGACTACGCCATCAAGGAGAGGCTGGACGAGGGCAATGCCGGGCTCATCGCCGTGTCGAGAAATGGCGAGGTGGCGTATGGATTCAACACGGTGGGCATGTTTAGAGGATCTGCAACACAGGATGGGTTCATGGAGGTGGGCATATGGTAGCCGCCCGCCTCTCTGTTTCTATCTCTTCCCCGATGTCCCTGAGAAATGCTAATTGATCTGCGTCTGTGCTGCTTGGGGGCACGATGATAACTAGACAATAAAGGTTCTTCTCCATGGTTGCGTATGTCCTATGGTGACAGTCTGTTGGATGGATTCATATTCCGGAAGCAAAACAATCAACAACCACTACCTAAAAAGCCGGAGAAAATGGGTGCACGAAGTGTGGAACTCATGGCAATCGTACGATTATGATTGTCCCACGTACCAACCCAGCACACTTTCTATATAAAATTGGAGGAAGACGAAGCGTTCACGTTTGTTCATCACTCCGTACAATGGAACGTGCAGAATCCAACCTGTGCCAATAACCAAACCGAGTTACATGAACAGACAGCCTGACTTAATATTGAAAAAATCCTAATCAGGAAGAAATGCCAAATATATGGAACTGACAGACAATGAAATGGTGGTAGCATCATCAATTTGCTGAGTGAAAGGACAAAACTCTGTTAATTTTTTAACATTATCTTATCCTCAAATCAAATCATATCTAATCAATTAAAATTATGAATATAGGATATTATTTTTTATTAATATTATTATAAAAAAAATATAATTAATGTCCCGATCAATTTGACGTGATCTAGACTCGTGTGTATAGATTTATTTGAAGCATTTTCAAGATTAAAATGTAGAACTACTAATATGTGACATGCATAAAAATTGAGATCCAAAGATATTTTTGTATCTAATTTATTTAACGTTGAAGTTAGTAACTCAACATAGATGGATGTAAATGTAAGTGATCAAAAACTAATTCTTATTTTTTATTATTTTGAAGATAAATTTTTATATATAGTTATAAAAGAATAAATATTTTATGAAATATATTATTGTGAAGCAACCTCTAACAACCTCCAATAACTTCCCATTAGCCTTTTCTCCATATGAGCAATAAGAGGAGGATAATTTATAACCACCTACCTTGGGCAAATAAGTGAAGAGATGGCCTTTGTCTTCTTTTTATAGCTTGGACATTATGTTAAAATCACATGTTAGTTGATGAATGATTGACGATGTCCTCCCAATCATTTATTCTCTCCCCTATAAGCATGTTTCAAGGGCTTTTGCAAGAGAGATTCAAAGTGTGGCATCTAGTTTATCTGACACATTAAACTTATGCCTCTTCAATTAATTCTTTGACTTTATGCATTAGGCACCTAACGTACGCCTTGAATCAATGACCTCTATCCCTCTGTAAGGGGTTGTTCCTCCTCGATGTGAACCTAACTCTCCTTCAGGTGTGGAGGTGAACAACAATGAGGCTCGGTTTCCTGGCTTCCATAGCTCTTGGCCATCGTTGTCTTGGCCATCTCCTTAAACCTCCAACCTTATGGAAGAGATAGCTATACTCCATGGAGTCGGATATTTCCCTCTTGAAGCTCCATATAATCTCATCGTCAAGGCCATGGTTACTGGTGGCAAAGATAGCTTTGACCACCTCTAGAGAGTAGTAAGGTTTGACACCATTAAGAGCCACAACATCATGCATCGAAGAGGGGTCAGTTTTCTAACCTCCATGCCTTGGTACTGAGGGAGGGTGTTGAATCCTGAATTTTGGTGATAAAATCAATTAATGAGTTTAGTGGACTAATATAATTTTTAGATAAGTGATGTATAAAATACTTTGATCACATACTCGAAGCAGGAGAATCAAACATTGTGCCAAGAACATTATCATATTAAAAAATTAGACATCAAATTAGAGAATTGGTTGACATACTAGAGATCAGACTTCATGCTATATGTTCGAGCATTGTACTAAAAGAATTAGATATTATGTTAGAAGATTGAATGTTATGGGAAAGTTGACATGATATAGAATGAACGATATACCAAAGGAAAGGGCGATGTGTTAGAAGTTTGGATGAAGTTTTAAAAGATCGAATGACATTCCAAAAGAGCATACAACATGCCAAAAGTTTCGTAAATATGCTGGATATGCGATTGATTTGTCAAGGTCTTAATTGAGATTATTTTAGCTTAATTTATGTCAGTATTAGGCTAAAAGAAGCTCACTTATCAAGAAAGTTATTGGACTTGAAATCAAATTGAATTGGACATATTAGAATGCCAAATTAATGGCTTAAACTAGGCCTGGGTGGTGGTATTGCTAGGCTCATATGATAGTATTGCTTAAGTCAATCAACAAGCACTATTTGTACTTTGTTATTTTTTTTATCAATGGTACCACCTAAGGTGGTGGTCAACATGCCAATTGGACAATATGCCGATTGGGCAATACGCCGAAAGAGAGGATGATGAGCCAAAGGGTCGGACAAAACGTCGGATGAACCAATGACATATCGGACAAACATATGATACATACTTTGTAATAATTTGTCTAGATCGAAGTAGTTTAGGTTGTAATTAAGTTGGTTTTGAATATAATTAGGCTAACTCAATTAAAGGCCAATTGGGCCTAAATTAGGATTAATTTGGGCTCATTATGAGGCCTATTCAGTGACCCAAAAGTTGGGTTAAGCGATGGCACCATTGGTCCAAGTGGTGGAACCGCTAGAGCCTTGATCTCTAAGATACAATCTCCGAGACTATGTCAGGCGGTGGTACCGCTACCACCACCCAGTATCAATGCTATAGGTGGTGGCATCGCTAGTACCCCGAAATCTCTGGGATTTAAATTTTGGCTCTAAATATTTAAGTCATTTGCAGTCTATAAATACCCCACAAATTCTTGCTTAGGAAGAGCACAAAAGTGAGAATAAAACTCTACAGTTTTAAAGTTGTAAACCTTTATAAAGTGTAGAGTCCTTCCCAAAGTTTAGAGACTATTCTAAGGGAGAGTGTGAGATAAACTTTGTAAAAATGGGTGTAACGGTTCTCTCCTGAGCCTGTCAAAAGGAGAAAAGAGTTATAAGAGGGTAGTTGATCTTCATCCATTGAAAGAAGACTGTTAGTGGATACCGGTGGCCTCAACGGAGGAGGAATCGAGAGTAGACATAAGTTACGACGATCGAACCGCTATAAATCTAGTTTGCATTGACTTTATATTTTTTATTTATATTATAAATTAATTTCTTACTCTCACTGTGCTTACGAATGCGCTTTCAAGTTAAACTCCTTTCCAATATCGATTTGCATCGAATAAGAATTTTTAAATCGATGTTTCTTACGAAAGTACTAGTTCACCTCCCCCCCCCCTCTTAGTGTTGATTTTAGTCTTAATAGTTAGTATCAGAACCATATTTCTCTCTGTCAGTTTAACATCCAAGAGAGATGACTTTTTTCGATAATCTAGAGGGTCACTTTATCGTTCATCCTTTTATGTTCAATATGACAGATGATACTTATTGGAAAACTCGAATGAGAGTTTTCTTATTTTTTATGGATTTAAATTTATAAAATATTGTTGAAAGTAGTTTTCAAAAGTCTTCTAATTTAATAATCGAATGAAATGATTTGGAGAAGAAAATTTTTTCTTTAAATGCTAGAGCTATGAACGCTTTATTTTACGCTTTAGACAAAAATAAATTTAATCATATTTTTTATATGAAACTACAAATAAGATTTGAGATACACTAGAAGTAACTCATAAAGGTACGAATAAAGTAAAAGAATCTAAGATAAATCTTTTGATGCATGATTTTGAATTATTTCGAATGAAGCCAAGCAAAATTATTATTGACATATATACCCGTTTTACGGATATCGTCTATAGTTTGAAAGCTCTTGGCAAATAGTTTTCTAATCTTGAACTTATAAACAAGATTCTAAGATCCTTTCTAAAAAGTTAAGACTCAAAAGTAACGACAATACAAGAATCAAAGGATTTGAATAATTTTTCGCTTGAAGAACTTATCAGGTCTTTAATGATCTATAAAAGAGCATGTATTGCACATAATGAACATGAGAACAACCTTCCAAAGAATAGGAAGGATTTGACAGTAAGAATAAAAGAAGACCACTCGAACGAAAGCTCAAGTGATGATGAACTTGAACTCCTCATAATAAAATTAAAGAAGCTCATAAAACAAGAAATTAAGAATAAAAATAAACTTAAAAATGATAAAAATAACTTACTATGAATGTAATGGGTTAGGACACTTCAAAAACAAATGTCCACAAGTAAAGAAGAAACTATAAAAGAAGAAGAAATCATTTAAGGTGATTTAGGATGATTCGAGGAATAAACCGACAAAGAAAAGGTGGCAAACTATGCCTTGGTGGCTTTCAATAAAAATGTAAGTGATTCGACCAAAACCCCTTACCTTACTATGAAATTACTTGATACATTTCATGAGTTGTTTGATGATTTTAATTAATTAGTAGGAAATATAAAATGCTAAAAAAAAGGGATCATACTTCTCTTTTTAATGATTTTAAAAAATTAAAAATTTGAGCATAAATATTACATATTAATTCCTTGTAGTAAGTATGAAAAGTTAGATTTAGTTAAGAAGGAAAATGTATTACTACAATAAATAATAATAAAATAAAGACCATTGAAATTAAAATGATTATTAACAAATTGAATCTTTTGTTTGAAGATGTTTTAATATGTCATTCTATTGATCATGATGATTTTTTTCGATGATGCTTATTTTTTGGGTTTAAACGATGATGCATGGTTTTGGCTTAGAAAACAATGGCATGAAATCCATCACATAGAGGAATGCATTATTATTCTTGAAAATGTCTCTATCCCTAAAATCTTATCGAGTTTTCAATAAGAGATTAATAAATCTATTTATGTCATTTTGAATCTCTTAGTGATTTTTATAATTTGATAATTTGAATTTGAATGAGTTTTATCTATATCATAATCTTGAATTCTCGGAATTATAACTTAAGATTTTCTCTATATGAATCAAGACTCCTTCCTCTTTTTTCTTGTATGATTCTTGAATTTTGTTAAAGAGAATATTTATTGAAATGAATCATGATTTTTTTCTTGATTTCTCGGATTTCATAACTAAAAATTTCTTTTAAAAATCTTTTACTATTTGATCTTTTAAGGTTTCTTTTTGTTTATTTAAGAGGAGATTTGTCAAATTAAATCATATCTTTTGGTATTCACATGATCTTTGATATTATCTTTCATGA